ACTCAGAGCGAATGTAAGAACATGCAGAGTTACTCCAGTAAAGGTATTAAATCTTTTTTCTTCCCTTAAAATAATTTGTAATTCCTTTCATGAAAGGCATATTCCATTTTTGTCACTACCATAGACTGAAAAAAAAAAAATGACAACAGGGCTCAAGAAAGCCAAACAGTTCATGGAAGGCTGAGAACTGAGAAACATAAAAACATCTCTGGGAATAAAGATTTTTGAAACATCATGTATACATATTAATTGTAGCTACTACAGAAACCATCCCTCATTCTAGGGTAAAGAACTCAGGACAGTTGTGTTCGGAACTGGTATGCTGCTATGTATTCTAATGCTAATTACCGTCCCCCAAAAGTCTGTTTGCCACCCAGATGTGCACATTCTCATGTATACTGGTCTTTGTTGTGTACACCTTGCTCTACCTAATTTAAAGCAGATTGATTAATAAAGTTGCTGAAGCCTATAACTGGGCAGAAAAGAGGTAGGTGGGGTGGGGTGTAGGTTCCCAGGCTTGGAGTTTGAGAGGGACTACCAGGCTGAGAGGAGAGAAGAGGGGAAGCAGAAGATGTTGCAGGAGGAGAGGAAGCTGGAGTAAAGGAAGACACCACGAGACATTATAGACCATGGCACATGGCTGTGAGGGCTGGCTTGATAGAACAGAAACAACCTGGACAGGAATGATTAAAGCAGGTAACATGGGGTATGTAGCTGGGAAAGAGCAAAATAGCTTAGAGGGTTGATGCCTGCCCAGCTCCTGTGCTCTAAAGCCTTTATAAATCAAGAGGTCTCTGACTTGATTATTTGGGAACTAGCTGGGGTAGAGAAGCTCTTGAGAGTCTGATAGCCACTTACAGCAACACAGCTGAAGCCCTTCCTAGTAATGACACTTATTACAATGGATGAGTTACCAAAGGCCAAACGAAGGCTTGATTAATGAGAAAATAAACCTAGAATGTATACATAATCTGATTAATTCAGTATTCTCCACCCCCATGCCCCTCTTTTATAATAAATTTGTTCGAAATGTTTTCTTAATTCTCCACCATTCTTCTTGTCCTTTATCAGTCCCCTTACAAAGACTGCAACATACTCTTTGGTATCGTATACAGAAGGTAAAGTCACTTGCCTGAAAGGGCAGATTGGACGCCAGTCAAAAAGTTTGTATTTTAAATGGTATTACAGAGTAAATGTGAATTACTTCTTTTTCTATCTTCTCACCTGCTAAGGAGAGCTGGTAGTTCCATGCCAAATCTACAGGCAGACTTACTTTTTTTATATTAATTCAGTCATCCCTGGTAGATTGGTATTATGGAGGATTCTAAATGGGTATGTGTTCAAAAAGAAAACAACACTAAAGCCATAGCTTAGAGACCAAGAGTGTGGGCTGAAAAGTCACACTCATAGTCAACCTGCTAGGTATGAAACCAGACAGATAATATCATTTTCCAGTTCCTGCGATGTCAATGTAGTACTGTGACTTCTATAGGAAGTGACTTCTATAGGGCTTGAACGAGGAAACAGATTTCAAGAACATGGCTTAGTTGTTAATTAGAACTACACTTGAGTTTCTTTCTAGTCCTGTATCTTAAGGTGGTTCCAATTCCAATAGTTACAAAACCAAAGACCTGATTTCCTAACTGACCCTATTGGTTTCCTTTCCTTTAAAATCAGAATGAGGGCACCAGAGAAAACACTACCTCACGCCAAGAGAACTACTTTCCACATGATCTGCCCTCACACCAGATTGCCTGTGTGAGCCCAGGCACTTTTCAATAGCTTCCACTGATGTTTGAAGATGTATCCTTTGAAGGATTGTGAACTATGGTGCCATGTTTGCCGTAATGCTTTGCTGTAGTTGTTGGAATATTCACAATCTCAGGCATTGCTTAGACCTCAGAAGACTCACAAGATCAAGTCTGACACCTTTCTCCAGGAAGTGAAGTCGCAGCAGTGTAGCTGGGCAGCTAAAACAGGGAAACAAACATAAAATCTTTTTATCTTCAGATCAACACGGGTGCAAAGTCGTTTAAAGAAAAGCTCAAGTAGCTGGACTTCTAAGATTGCATTCATCATTAGTAATAGTGTTAGTGTGTTGGCTCAAACTCAAGATTCTCTTTTTATATTTAATTAAGGTCTTTTATAATCAATCTGTCAAGTTTATATTGTAGAAGTCCTTATTCCTTAAAAATTGATCTTAACTCAACAGAAACTGATAGAGACTCAGTCCTACGAGAACATGGAATTCTGAAATCATAACCCTTTGTGATGTTGCTGCTCAGATAATTACCTTTGCTTTGAGATAACTTGTGATGGGCAAAATGAGAAAGTCACTTATAGAAGACAGACAAGAACAAAGGCTTCCTTCAGGTTATAATCTGTGGAAATAGTAGGCACTGTTCTAGGTAATACGTGGGCTTCTGTTGTTTTGATATTATTAAAATTCTCCACATTTCTTCAAATAAAATAGGAAAGATCATATTTAGCAATAATTTCAAGAAGACCAATACCCCTCCCTCACCGCTGCCAGAAAGTTTGTCTTTATTCTCAGTATCTTAGCATGCCCCTTCCCTTCAAAGTCTCTACGAATAACTAGGATATCAGTTCCGATACAGCACCCAAACCTGTGGAGTACAGTTCAAGGCTGTGCACACACTCGCTGATGTGAAACGCAGAACTATGTTCCAGACAGCTTTTGATTTTGGGTAAAACTCAGATTGCTCCTTTCCCCTTTTTATTCTATTTTATGTCTTTGAGTTAATTTTTGGACTAACTGTTACATAAAATCCACCAGCAGATCTATTCCTAGAAGTTCTTTCCTTTCCCTTAACACAGTTTTAACAGCTTTAAATCCTTTAATAAATGTGAAAGTGATCAAGCTAAAAAGTTGTACACAGCTTCACAAGACAGAAACTACCCCAATACCTTATACTTAATTTTCCAAAACAAAATACCAGGAACAGTCCTCCATCCCAACCTTCTCATTTGAGCATTTTTTGATATGAATGATACAAAGATTTCTTTTTATTGTTTTGGTGTTTGTTGGCCAATGGATGTAGGAGCTCCACTTGACCTTAACCTTCTCCAAAGAGGGGGCCACAACTACATCTCCGTCTTATCAACGAAACTTTCAAACACACAGAGAACCCACCATCAAGATGCAGGCGAATGACTATCGTATATCCACTGATGTCCCACGACTATGCCTTGTTTTTGAGCTACACAGTCTAACACGTTCTAGCTCGTTCTCTGTCTTTGTTATTCCCTTATTTGTAAGTCTTATATTTATACCTTTCCAAGAGCTGTAGTTAGGATCAAAAGATGTTTCTTGTGGAGAGTCTGGGGCAGCAGGATCTTGATTTTTAGGCTGGGCTAAGCTATGAAGCAAACTACAGGCCAGTGAGGGCTACACAGTGAGACCCTGCCTATATATATATATAAAATAATAAATAAAGCAACACAAGGCAGAAGAAAACAATCACCTTTTGCCTTTGTAATTCTTACCTATGTTTTAAATCTATAAGCTCCATGAACTTTATTTTAAAGTAAGATGTAAATTCCATCAATCAAGGATTTTGAAATATATGACACAAAGCTATGGCTTAAAGAGTTAGTAAAAGAAGGCATCACATGAAAGACACGCCAAATTCCCATTCTCAAAAGCAACTCATCCACATGAAATAGTCAAAAAGGACTCTATTTAATTAGTGATATGTAGACTTTTGCATAGAAAAAGGTTACAAAGCAATGCAGAAAAGACTAGGTACAGTAATTTTAAAACAAATACTTATGAGTATAACTTTGTATAATGTTTAACATTCTCTGGTTTATTGCTTTCTCCACACAGCAGAGAATTGAAGTGCATAAGAATACATGCTGTGTCCTTACCTTTCAAATATAAAATCTCATGTGCTCAATCTCAACATATTAAAAGATTATTTTGTCATTAAACAAGATAAAAAATCAAAACCAAAACACCATTATGTAGCACTAGTCTAGGCGTGGACAAAAATAATTTATGTACGCCTTCTTGCCTACATTCATTGTGATTCGGGAGCAAATGCAATCGCTAACTTGACCAAGGGCATTTAAATCATGTAGCTTTTCTCTTCCGTATCATTTCTCCTCTTCTCCTTTATTTCCAGAAATGCAACCTCCCACGGAAAGGGACAAGAACAGACATTGCATGTTGTCAGGAGAAAACTGAAGAAGTTAAGAACATAAATATAGTCCAAATGAAACTGAATAAATTAATCCAAACTCTGGCAAACGGAAGAGTTGTTGAGTTGATGTGAATGAGTAACTGGAAGGTACAATGTATGTAACTGCTCCTCCGCGCATTGCATAGCTGTAAGTTTACATAAGGAAATACATTGTGCTCTAAACCATGGCTCAGCAGCGCTTGAAGGCAGAGCAGAAATGCTGGTTAATGTGGGCACTGGTGGGATTCTTTATTTCAGTGCATTGCTAAATGTTACTGCTTGGCGAGTCTGTATAAAGAAAACAGATATAACTAGGTTTTTTCGACTTAATTTTCATTAATCTTTCTGGCCAATAAAACCTGTTGGTTTCAAAAGAACACTGTGTGTCTGCAGCCCAACACAGGTTGCCTGTCCCCCCCCCCTCCCCTTCTCAACCCAAGCCATGCCCTTCTCCTTGTGCACTGCACTTTAGCTCAGGCACTTAGAAAATACGGTATTTTCTCCTCTCCCTTCTAGTTCCAGGAGAACTAGTTATGGCGTCTTTCTTTTCCAAGTCAGATGTGCTACTGCACCGCCGGACAGTGACATCCATGTAGTTTCCAGTAAAGTTTAAATGGAAATAGTTGCGATGCTTTAAAGTTGCTGATGTCAGTTGCCGAGCTGCCTTAAACAATGGGGAAAAAATATATATATATATACATATATATATGTATATGTATATATATATATGTATGTGTGTGTATATATATATATACATATATATATATATATATATATATATATATAATACTACATTTCCATTTGTGTGGTTTGCTTCTCAAATCGCTTTATTGCTGCTGTGTGGATCTGCAGGTATTTTTTATGGCTACCTTCAGGGTGCAGAGGTTTGAAGCTGATTCTGAAATGGAGGACGTCAGTTACTATTGCCAAGGAATTCAAGAATAACTTAGAAGGCTCCAACTTCTGTCCCCCAAGGTCGGTAAGGTTTACTGTTTGTTCCACCGCTTGTCTGCTGAGGACTGGAGGCTGTGGACACCGACAAGGGCGGGCTGATCGCTGTGGCAGCAGCAACCGCAGCTGCTGCTGCCGCGTTGGAGGGGAGCATGGGGAAGGCCCCTGCGAAGGACAGAGGGAAGCTGTGTGCCGCTGCGGTGGCAGCTGCGGCTGCGGCATGCACGGTGGCTGAAAGAGACAGCAGAGAGGTGGAGAGAGGTGGCACACAGGGCGCAACCGTGCCTGTCGACGGCATCCGAAGGGCGGAATCTGCGTGGGCAAAGGTTGCGGTGAGGAGGGCAGAGCCGTGGGCAGGAGGCACTTCTGAAGATGTGGACAGGCGACACGGGGTTGACTCCGGCGTGTGGAGTCCGTTGGGTTGGAGCAGGGCTGTGGGGAGATGGTGGAAAGCCGCTGCCCAGTGGTGTGGGAGCAGTGGGTGATGGTGGTGGGCCATGGAGGACGTCATCACTGCTGCCTCCCGCTGCGAGGCGCAGGTGCTGAGGTGAGAGACCAGGCGCACGCGCAGGGGATCCGAAGAGTCAAGGCCTTCCACCGAGCTCAGGTACCTTGCCACTTCCGTAAGGCACTCCCGGAAGCCAATGCTCATGAAGTCCATGGCGAGGGCATGGGCGTCAAAGTAGCCTAAAGAAGGGTTGAGGAGAGTCAGAGGTGTTGGTTGGGGTGGGGTGGGGGCCATTATGGCCTACGGAAGAAATAGGATGACTCTTTCTGAAAACATAATGGCTACTATGTTTTTCTTGTTGGTGGGTTTTGTTTTTTTTTTTTTGTTTGTTTTTTCCAGGATTAAAGAACGGATACTGTGCAAATGGCATGCAGGACAACTTTAGCAATGCTCCAGTTAATCTAGGATCTAAATGTCACAAAAGGAAAAATAAAATAGGGACATTCATGTTTCAAATACCTCCTAGAGTGGGAGGGGATGTCTTAGCTTCCGTACTGTGGGCTAGTAACTTTCCTCAAGAACACTTTTATTGGAAATGGAAAAAGCATCACAGAGTTGGTCATTTACAGGGCACTTCCAGGACGGGAATCAGGACCTGTGCATTCTCAGCACCCGCTCTGCCTCTGAACTACCTCACTAATGCAAATTAGGTTCTCTTCATCAAAAGCATTTGCATCACTCTATGCTCTTACAGAGCAAAACTTGCCTATATCCTTTATCATGGAAGCATCACGAAATGTAACCGTAGTTACATATCCTGAGTAGTCTGAAAGGGAGAAAAGGTTTTGGGGCCAACTATAACCACTGGGAGAGCAGAAATGGCTCTAGTTGACAAGAGACTGCTGCAAAGGGTGGGGTATCAGCAGTAAACCTCGATTTCATCCCCACCTGGGGGCAGTCACTGATCAAAGTCCCTGAGATGAGAAGGAGCTGCTCCTCCACAGGGTGCCTCCACGGCAGGATTCCACAGGACAGTCTTAAGGGTCCCCCTCAGCCTTGAGCTTCTGACTTTCACCAAAGAGGGAGAGAGGTCATGATCAGAGTGCAGAGTTGGCGAAAAATTCAAGATTTTTTTTTTCTCGAGGAGACTATTATATTCCTATGACCGACTGAAAAGAACATACCAGCTTCTTTGAATTTTCACTGGTGGTTGTAAAGACAGTCACGTTGTGAGGTTTGCCAGCTATGAGGCTTTATATGGCTGGGCGTCCTAAGGAACATGAATTATGTAATTCCCATTCTATGGTTGGAAGCAGAGGGACCTGATGACAAGCAGCTGTCTCTCCAAAGTGGGTCTTGAGCTGGCAATAGCCCATGCGCATCAGCACTTCCACCATGCCAGCACGGCTCTCTAGGCTAAGAGTGAATTAATTTACAGCCACCTGGGAGGAGTCTTTCACTGTTACCTCTGTGTTACAAGGGACAAAACAACGGGAGCCCCAGCAAGATAAGTTAACTTATTGCCATCGACAGGGAGAACCTGAAGCCAGAGCTAGAGTGCTTTCTCTAGCGTCCATGCCCTTTGCTGCTACGATAGTGGCCGCTGGGAGTCTGGGCTTGCAACCAAAGACCAGCAGCCCCTCTTGTTCAAGGCCTACACGTTCTCCTGTGCAACGGACTCTCAAGTGACACAGCAGGCAGGTGACTTTTAAGGCACCCAGTCAGGAATGTCTGCTTACCTACTAATCTGTGGATGAAGTTGTCCTACGCTCAAGCAGTCACGAGTAAGAACTGAGATAAAACTTGTCATAAAATGAAAGGACAACCTGACATTTCAGACAGCTCATGCCAAGTATTGGAGGCTCTAGCGGGGATTCAAGGGAAGGAGCAGAGCAATCATATAGCTTTCCTTGTACCGTCTAACTCCCCCACTCTCCTGAAATCTCAGGGCGGTAGGTGTGGAAATACTCACTATTTAGGGCCTGAGGAGCACACACTGCCAGTTTAACCCTTGAAGACCAGCGGGTTACTTCTGACTCAGGTCAAAGGTCGTAGCCAAGCTGGGTGGGATAACCGACTCTTAACACCAAAATTCTTCCATAATATACTGTCCAGTACAGAGGACATTCTCTGTACTGCATGGGGCCAGGCCTGGATCTCTACTCCTGTGTGTTATTCTCAGGAAGAGCCTGTTACTTTGATGTTTCTGGTACCTGAACTTCAAATGTTGTGATTGCTGTAGTGTTAAGACAGGCCAAAATGGTCTGGGAAACGAGGACAAAAATAATTCTAGAGTCATTTCCTTTAAATAGCTGAATTGTTTGCATCCCAGCCTTGGTTTAATGAAAGTGAGAGAAAAAGAGGGCGAGCATGCCCCCAGCCAGCCTTGTTTATATTTGGATGTTTGTGTGTTTGCTTTGTTATTTTTCTGTACAAATTCCAGCAATGCACTTCTCAAATCCCAAACAAACGTCTGAGCAGGCTGCTCTGAAGGAAGCTTCACTCCCACAGTATTATAAGAGCAAACACAAGCCTGGGGTCAAGTGCTTCTTTTGTTCCAGTTCTTTCCCACGAGTTCAATCCTGCCATTAGCATTGATTTCTACAGCTTTAATCCAGGGCTTTGCCTACCTCAGCTTGTTAGAGAGCTGTTCAACTGTGATGTCCTTATAATATTAGAGGGAAAAAGATGAAAAGAGAAAGGTAGGAAGGGGGTGAAGGATCGTGCCAACTCTTACCTTTACCCCCGGTTGCCTGAAGCATCTTCAAATGGTCCACTGTCATTTGCAATATTTCAGCCTTTTCCAACTTGGCAGATCCCTTCATTATCAAATGATAAAGTCTAATGAGTCCTACAGAAACTAACTTGGTACCTTATATACTGAACTTAGTACTATAGTTCCAATTTTGCATCTCATAAAATTCCATGTTTAATTGCATCACAGGAAAAAAAAACTTGAAGTAAAACATTTTAATTGTGGTTGCCGATGTCTCTGTGTGTGAGTCTGTGTTTGTCTCTGCAGAGGCAGACACCTGTGCATGTCAGAAGCATCAGACCGTGCTGGAGCTGGACTTAAAGGTGTCTGTGAGCCACCCAGTGTGAATCTATCCCCAAGTTTGTGTCCCTCAGAAGAACAGTTCATTCTCTTAATCTCCCAGCCATCTGGACAGCCTCTGCATTCTTTCTATACTTAACAGAAAAGCACCAATTACTACAGCATAGTAGACGCCATTGACTTGTAACTTCTAAAGACCAGAACAGGGCATCAAAGAAATGATTCATTAAATAGTAAAAACAATTACATTCCTCATGTCATCCCTTAAACAATATGCCAATTGCAAAGCTCTACCTTGATTAATGGTATATTTCCTTAAGGGACATTTACTTGTTATTACTATTGAAGTCTACAGCAGTTAAATATTTGAATGTTAATTCTGGAGGCTATGGAAGTAGAGCGTTTGAAAAATAGAAAAATTCCAGTAAGTCTTTAAGATGACCAGCAGTAAAGGAAACAAAATAGGAAAGGACTTTCAAGGTTACCAGCAGGTGTCACTGTGAATTCTAAGATCACAGGCCAATAGGCCTAATTGGCAGTTTACTTAAGGAGCATCATATGGACCTAAGAATTTTCCAATCATTCAAAACTATTCTCTAAAAACAAAACAAAACAAACAAACAAACAAAACAACAAAAAAACAAAAAAACAGTCTTGCAAGTGCATCGTCACTGATTGCTGCCATTCTTAAAATAAAGCAACCTTTGGAAATCTAATGAAACAAAGTCACCATTTACAGTGTCTCCAGGGCTCTGGTAGCTTCTAACTAACTTCCTGGAGAAGCTGAATAATTAAACCAATGTGTGGTTTGGGGGTTTTTGTTGTTGTTTTTCCACTTGGTGTGTGAAAAGGATCCTGAGGTTTACTCCATATTCCTATACTTGGGTTTTTTCATTAAATTAAATTAAATTTTTTAGATTATCAGCACCCAGTAAATAGCAGGAGTGTTTGTTCTTCAGCTGCTCTAAAGAATGTTCCTCCCCACTAATTGTGACAGGGCCAGCTCACTGGGGTTGGCAGCCAGACTGTGTATGGGAAAGCGTGTGTTTACGGTAACTAACTGCCAAACAACTGAGGCTGGCTCGTAAGGTTTAAGTCAATATTTGAGAAAAGAGCCTAGCAAACCAAGGCTGAGAAGAAAAGATCATCAAAGTGACTGTTTCTCAATGTCACAGTGTAGATAGTTCGGTACTCAAAGCAGTACAAACAAAACAAAATCATAGGTCATTGCCATTTCCATCCAAAGACTACTAACCGGAAGTCTAATGTATGGTATACGTAAGCTATCAAAGACGGCCTTGGCATATCAGCTTCATGGCTTTTTTTTTTTTTTTTGTCTTATATATTTAGAACCAACAATATAACATACCCTGTGCTTCTCATTGTTCACCAAGTCTATGAAGACCTATGAGCGGTTGCAGAAAGTGGCACAGTGCCACCCTGGATGCCCTCCAGAGGCTCTCTGTGAGGCTTGCTTTACAAGGTTTGCAGAATCACGGAGTAAACAAATCAACACATACGGCATAAACAATCAGCTGATGTTTTGCACCCAATTTGGAACTCGACTGAAAACACTTTCAGCACAGAAACTGCTACACACTTGGAGAGATGCTCTTAGAAGCCCACGCACCAGCCAAGCAAGCAGGACCAGAAAGGAGACACCCAGAGCCACAAAAGAAAGTGCAAGCGTTTGTTTTCTGCTTTCCCAAATGTGCTTTTTATTTTATCTTATTTTTTATGTAAAAGAATACTTAAACTTTGAAAAGCAGCATTTATGACTAAGTTGATTGTTACCAAACGTCCAAACTGTGTCTCAAACCAAACAACTTCCTATTAACCCAAGAATTAAAAATGAAAGTAGCTCGCTAATACTAAACTGTATTAGTATAATTTAGGAAACCAAAATAAAAATCTTACTTCCTTAACTTTGAGTTTTTTAAAGAGTATTTTCAAAGTTTGAGGGAAAAAATGATTTTTTTTTTTCCCCTCAAGAATACTACATACAGCACGATTTTAAACGAAACCCTGCTGGATTCATAGAAAGAACAGAGAAAGCACGAACACTGTTACCCTTAAGGGGAAAATAGGGTAAAGAATGGAAATGTTTTCAACTTCATGATGGATTATGTTTTTAATAGTTCTGCCACAACAAAGCATTTTATTGAAACAGCTGTTCTATGCGGGATCAGGGCACACACACCATTATTTTAATGAGCTTCGAGAGGAATCCACATTACCAGACAAGAAAAATCAGACTCTTTGAGCCTTTTTTACGGGGTGGGAGAGAAGGGGAATAACTTACTTGTTTTTCAAAAGCTGTTGGCACTAGTCTTCTCAGTTCAGACAAACTGTTATTTATTCGATCCCGACGCCTTTTTTCTATGATCTGGCCCAAAGAAAGCAAAACAAAAACCTAAGGATACATATATAGCAAAATTATCCCAGACAGGAAAACAGCAAGGTTGATACACAGGCTAGATTACATGACATGAAAAAGGGCGGGGGAGGTAGTTGGAATCACCTACCCCTCTTCTTTTCTTCCTTGCCATGATCTGAGAGGTGGTTGTTGGTGAATTGGATCTCATCACCGAGCTTGTACTGTGCCTGTGATGGAGGGAGAAAGACATGTCAGATGGTATATCTGCATAGTAATACCGCTGCACCCCCATGCTTCGTGGCACCCACTAATATTCAGGTTGACTACACGTTACGTTGTTTTTTTTTTCCATGTCGATGTTATTTTTGGATTCCAGGTAGTAATTACGCATTTAAAAAAATGTTAGTGAGGCTTTGGGATAGCTTAGTGAGTAAAGGCAACGGCCACAAAGTTTGATCATCTGGCCTGAGTTCCATCCCATGGGCCCACAGGATGCAAACGGAGAACCACTCAAGACCTCCACAAACAGAGGTGATGGTTTCATGCACATCACTGCACACATACAACAAATGATAAATAAACATGCTTTTAAACTGCTCTGGGTAATTCAGATCCCAATTCAAATGATAAAAATGAACCCTAACTTTTGAGTTCTCCAGTGAAATAATGGCCAGTTGGAGTGAGAGGTCAGAGACTAACGTCCTGTTTATGCTCATATATTTCCTAAAGGTCAAAAAACCATCTGAATGTGTCCCTCCTATTCTCTCCTGCCAGGCATCACATGAACTCCTCTATAAAATAGTCACCACAGGTCAAATTTGTCTCTGGATGCAAATTTTAAAACAAAACCAAATACTTGTACCATTCCAAAAATCTCAACAATTCATACTTAATAACATAAAAAAAGACAGATTTTAAGTTTTGCATAGTAATCTTTTAAAAGAATAGCCTAACTATATGAATGGTAGGGAAGTCAAATTTTGGGTTCTTACTTTGCACGTTTTACTTTAAAAATGAAACTGTCACCAGCCTTTAAACAAAACTTGAATCTCAAGAAGCTGCAATCCACTTCAAGTTTACTAAAAGGTATTTTTATACTCCTGCGACTTAATGTTGCTTTGAAATTCACAGACACTAAATTTCTTTAAGGTCTTAAAATCCCCAGGCCCTGTTCTGTGTTCTCTGTCGTTTTAGAAGTTCTGTTACTTAATCTTCTCACTTATGAATTTTAATTCGAAATCAACTGACCCCATTTTTCCTCATCCCTTCTCTACAGGTTTCACCTTTTCACGTGACAGCCTCCGTTTTCATTTTTATAAAAGAGGGTACACTTCAACAACGAGATACTTTTGTAAACTGAGTCTTGTGCATCTTTTTTTTTTTTGCTCTTGCTCTTTTCAGGTTTTGGTTTCTAAGTCTTAAAGTAAGCCTGTGAAAGAAAACCAGCTCTCTGCATGGAGGAGGGATCTCGCTCTTTGAGTGACAGCTGCAGATAAATAATTAAGGTGCTTCTGGGCATGCCAATTAGAAGCAATTATCATTTGGCCAGCCTAGGCTCTAAAATGCCTGGGTCATCTCGCAGTCACAGGAAACGGGAGGTGTGCCTCCTGTGATCACAATCTTCTGGGGAGACTAAAGGACAAGCAGCCAAAGCAAGGCTGCCTCGTCCGCTCCTTACATCTGTCACTCATGGGCGGGTGGGCCAGATCACCCTCTGTCAACTTGCGCAGCAAAGCCTGTTTAGCTTTAACAGCACCGGTGCTTTAGCTTCTCTAAAAAAAAAAAAAAAAGAAACTCAGAGATCCCAGCTTCTCTCAAAACAGAAATCCAGTTGTTTTTCTTTTCTCCCGATCTATTTTGGAATTGTCCCTAAATACAGTTTCAGTGGCGGGGGCGTCGCCCGGACGTGCCAGTACGCGTGCCCGGCGCTGACAGCCCAACAGCCCGGGACCCTCCCTCGCCATCTCCTGCAAGCTCCCCTCTAACAAGACCCCATCTCTCCACCCCACCCCGACTCTAGCTCCGCGAGCACCCACTTCTGGGGGTGGAGGGGGGATAACTCTCTCCACAAAGAGGAGCCCCAAGGGTTTCCAGGGACCCCGAAGCTTCCCTTCCCGGACACTCTCCCGCTCCCCGGCGCTCACCCGGAGTAATTGTTCTCGCTCCCCACGTCGATGGTCTCGTCCATGTCGCTTTCGGAGGTCGTCTCCTCGCAAGGGCGCTTCATCGCGGCGGCGACGGAGGAGCACCCACCGACGCCGATCCTTTCGCAGCCTGCTCCCCGAGGCCTCCTCCCTCCCTCCCTCCCTGCCCGGCTTCTGCAGGCGCGACTCCCGGAGCGCCGCTGCCTGCTCCTCCCGGCTCTTTCCCACGCCGCAGCCCAGCCCGGGCGCAAGAACCCGCGCCGGCCACGCCCCCCGCGCGGGCGGGGCCCCTCCTGCTTTTCGCGTGCCCGCCCTGGCCCCCCGCCAGGCCCCGCCTCCCAGGGACGGCGTGGCTTTCTATTGGCTGATATGGAGGGGCGGGCCCGCGGCGACCAATGGTCGCCGAGAGGCGTCGGCAGAGGCGTGGGAACGCGGCGGCGCACCTGGGAGTCCCGAGCCGAGCGCTGGCGGGGACTCGGTGCGGCGGGCGCGGGCGGGCGCAGGCTCCCGGGGTTTGGTGGCCTCCTCCGCACGCCAGGATCTCTCCCGCCGAGTTTCTACCCTGGGTTTAAAGAATAACCGCTAGCGCGTGGCTGAGCGCGAGTGAGCGTGTGTAACGTCGGGGGAGGAGGAGGCCGAGGGGGGAGGGGGACGGGGGGGGAGGACGGGAAGGCTGTGCGACCCACCCCTCTGGGGCTGTCCCTCCTCTTGACCCAAGCAGCTGACTGGCTGACCGGAGCGGTCACGTTGACCCCCAGGGGATCTTTTGAAAGCTTTAAATCAAAGTTGCTGTTCACGCTGCCAACTCCGCAGCCCCGGGGCCGTGGGCCGAGAGTGACGCGCGCCTACCGGTCCAGGTGCCCAACCGCAGGAGGTTGGCGCAGGGCAGGAGTGGGTTTGTCATCCCTCGGCCACGGCCTTTCCTTTGTGTCTGTGGCCACAGAACCCGGAGGGGGGCGCTTTGTAGACCGAGTAGGCGGTGGGCTCCGCTGGAGGCTTCCCTGCCTGCCTTGGGGAAAGCGGGGCTTTCAGGACACAATCTTGAGGTACATCGGGTTTGGAGGTTCCAAGTTGAACGCCCCGGCCCTCCCCGCAGTTTTTCAGAGGTGTGCGACCACAGACTCTTTTTTTTTTTTTTTTTTTTTTTTTGGTAAAGTTTGCCCACCCTTCGTCGTCCTTGGTGCACGGGCAGGCGCGGGTTGTTTGCCCTCGTAGGCGCTGCGCTTTCAGACTCCTGTTTCCGAGCCGCTGCCTCTCTGCGCGCGGTGGGACTTGTGACGGGTCTCCCGGAGCGGAGCCCCGGGCACGCTGGACCTTCAGCCGCTGCCCCGCGGACTGGGTTGGTGGGGCTCCAGCCAGAGACTCCACCCTGCCAGCTTTGTGCTTGGCGTGGGGGAAAAAGCCCTTGAGAAAGAGGCATCCATCAATCACCAAGACCCTCCACCTTGCACATAGACTCATCTTTCTGGAAATCTGACCAAGGCACCCTTTCGACACTCCGTTCCCTGGCCACGCTAGCCCGGTGGGGCGGGAAAGAACAAGAGAAAAAAGGGGACAGCAAGGGACCGGATTCGGGCCCAGGTTGGGTAGATGGAGGGTGAGTGGGAAGGAGCCAGGGTAACGCCGAGGACCTGCGGCCAGCGCGTCATTAAAACACAAAACCTCTCCCTCGCAGGCCCGAGTCCGGTCCCCGCCGCGGTGCCTTCGATAACCGTGTGAACCGAAATCTGAAACTTTCCGTTCTGAAACTTAACTCCAGGCAAATCGCAGGGTCATCGGGGACCGGGCGGGGCCTGGCGAGGCAGGATGGGGTCAGCGCGGCTGGACCGCAGCGCCGTGGGTGGCTGACTCCCCAGCTCGGCGCTCAGTCTTCGGGAGGGCGCCTGGGTGCTCGGGGGCGGCAGGGCCTTAGCCCCGCCGCGGAGCAGGCGGCCTGAGTCTGCTGGCCCTGGGCAATCCAGGCCTCCACCCTGTGCTGCTCCGGCTTCCGCCTCGAGTATCCAGCTGACTGAGAGCCCTCCAAGCCTTCCTTTCCCAGCTAGAGTCGCGGGACGGTCAGGGGGGCGCCACTCCCCCACCTCCTGAAATTAAGGTTTGCCACGCGAGCACACGAGCAAATTAGTGGGAGCTTCCAAACGCCCGAAGCAAAACCTAAAATCAACAAAGGGGTGTGTATACAGGGGCATCCCTAAGAGATTTTTTTTTCTCTTACTATGCTAGTGTATTTAATTATAATGATTGCAAAAAAAAAAATGCAGCGGGAAATGGTTTGCTTGTAATGAAGTAGCAACTGGTTAAACTTTTTCCATTTTGTCTTTGAAGACTTAACCTCCGTGCTGTGTCATGAAAGAATATGTTGGGGACGTTAGAAAAGCAGGCTCGGATTTAACGTTGGTTAGCATAGTTTTTAATCGACGAGGGTCATATGTTGAAAACGTTTAGAATAGAGCCAGGGATACACACACACAGAGGCATATGAAGAGAGAGAGAGTTAAAAACTCTCCAAACAGCATGCTTAATCCCAATTAGAGAGGTTTTCCCTTCTCAAACATCCATTGGGCCTGTCGCCTGCCTAGGCGCCTTTTCTGTGTCCTGCCTCTGGGTCAGAGGTAGAAATAGCAAACTCTTCTAAGTGCTTCAGCCAGCTGGGAGAGAGAGAGAGAGAGAGAGAGAGAGAGAGAGAGAGAGAGAGAGAG